CCATTTAGTCACTTTTTGCACTTTCCCTTCTTTTATTCTCACTTGAACTCTCTCAGTTCAAGAACGCCAATGACTCTCATATTACTGAATTCAATGATATATTCTCAATTAAAATGGGTTTTTGCTCTGCTTAAGGATATTAAATTCTACTACAGAGAAACAAAATGAGATAAAGCTTGTATGTGTTATGTATAGATAAAAAGTAAGCAAAGCATGTATGCATTAAATACAGACAAAAAAGGACCAAGAGTTACCTAACATTCTTGAGGCAAATATGTAAAAGGCACCAAAGAGTCAGGATACATTAAATATACATGAGACACTTAGAACTCAGTATTTGTGAGAACTTAATGTGGCTACACATTAGTGATACCTAGTCTGTGCACTGACTAATAAATACAAATAACACCTATGACTGTTCAGCAGATGGAAAGCTAACGCCATGACCAGGCATACTTGTTCCTGTATCGTCTTGAAAGTGTGTGTATCTTTGGCCCATGGCACCTACCATGTGGGCTCTGGTTCTCACAACCGCAGCACTGGTAAAGAATGTTGATAAGGCAAAACATGTAAACACTATGTACTCCAGAATTTAGGAAGTACGGTCCTTCTATCCTACTTAAATCCCAGCCTAAATGTGTTAACTTATCCTCTATCATTTCCTTTTCTTCTGTTTATATTTATTTAATGAATTATGTGATATAAACATTTTATCAGTTAGCTTTTTTCCCAATAACCTTTGGGATAGCTTGCCTGGTGGTGTTTTTGAAGTCCAGCGTTGAATTGGGGTGATTTCCCACTCTTAAAAACACTATTTGACACATTAAATTTATATTTCTAGTCCTAACATCTTACATAAACACAGTTTAAAAACCAAACTTTTACTATCTACCTCAAAACCAACTCCTCTCTTAGATAATTGCAATGGTCTCCTAAAGAGTTTCCTGGTTTCCCACCTTAGAACCACTTCAGTCTACTCCCATCCAGCAGTCGGAGTAATCCTTCCAAAATATGAATCAAACCATATTAATCCTCTGCCCAAAACCCTGTTATGGTTTTCTATATGCATCATAATAAAATCTAAAATCAGTACCAAAATCTGCAAAACCCCAGCTGAATTACTCCCATCTCTACTCCCACCATTAGCCAGCTTTCTCACTCAGTTCTAGCCATACAAACCTCTGTAGCATTATACAAACATTCTAAACATGTTACCACTTCAAGATCCTTTTATTTTTGAAGACAGACTCTCACTCTGTTGCCTAGACTGGAATGCAGCGGCTCGATCTCAGCTCACTGCAACCTCTACCTCCTGGGTTCAAGCTATTCTGCCTCAGTCTTCTGAGTAACTAGGACTACAGGCACGTGCCACCACGCTCAGATAATTTTTTGTATTTTTAGTAGAGACGGGGTTTCGCCATGTTGGGCAGACTGACTTTGAACTCCTGACCTCAAGTGATCCACCGCCTCAGCCACCCAAAGTGCTAGGATTATAGGCATGGGCCACTGTGCTTGGACAACATCTTTACATTCACAACTCACTCTGCTTGCAGTGCTCTTTCCTGATAGATTCATATGACTTAGTCCTTATTTTCAGGTCACTGCTCAAATATCCTCTTATCAGAGTGGGCTGGACTTCCCTTATCAACTTTTTTTTTTTTGAGATAGTCTCCCTCTGTCACACAGGCCAAAGTGCACTGGCGCAATCTTGGCTTACTGCAGCCTCCACCTCCTGGGTTCCAGTGAATTTCCTGCCTTAGCCTCCCGAGTAGCTGGGATTACAGGCACGTGCCACCACACCCAGCTAATTTTTATATTTTTAAGACATACAGGGTTTCACCACATTGGCCAGGGTGATCTCAAACTCCAGATCTCAGGTGATCTGCTCACCTCGGCCTCCCACAGTGCTTGAATTTACAGGCATAAGCCACCATGCCCAGTTCCTTACTTACTTTTATAAATACAAACTTCTGGCAACTCACCCAACCACCCTCAGGCTTAGCATTCCTATACTCCTTGTCCTACTTCATTTTTCTTCAGAATCCGGGCCACCACCTGAGAGACATTAATTGGTTTGTTTACTGCTTGTCTGTCCAGACATTAAGTTCCACCAGGTCAGCAACTCGTACATTCTATTTCATATGCATAAAATTTACAGAATACCAAGCACATAGAAGGAACTCAACAAGCATTACTGAAAAAATAAATAAATGAGTAACAATAACAGGAGATATTCCCACAGCAAGTGTTAGCAGCAAGAAAGGACAGCTCCACATGAAGACAAGAGGATTAGCTAGAGAATCACAGATCCTGCCAAGTCCCACAAGCCCAGCAGACTCCCAGAATTACTTGGGACAAGAGCTATAATACCAGAAAGGCAGGTGAGAGAAAGGCCATACAAATGCTGTTCTTTGGTAGTTACAGCCCTGATTTAAAAAAATAATAATAATTAATTGGTAAGAAAAAATAATAACTTTACCACAGACAAAACAGAAAGATACCGTCTCAAACAAGTGATCAAAATAGTATTACCAGTATTCTAAATTGGTAGGCTTATGCAACAAAACTGAGGAAAAAAGTAATAGTAATATCACCAGTAACTGCACAAATAAATATCATATGCTTCCTAATACAATGCACTAAGAATACTACATAACTTCTGTGGTATTCCTGCCAAAAACATATAACCCAAATCTAATCATATTAGGAACATTCTGTAACAACAAAACAAAAAAAAAAACTGGTCTATATTTAAAAATGTCTATGACATAAAACACAGACACTCAAAATTGTTCCACATTAAAGGTGACTAAATAGACATGACCATTAAATGCAATACATAATCCTGGATTTTATTTTGCTAGAAATGACATTGTTGGGACAATTGGCAAAATCTGAATACGATCTGTAGATTAGATAACAGTATTTCATCAATGCTAACTTCTTGCCTTTGATAATTTTATGGTTATATAAGAGAATGCCCTTTTTTTGTTTTGTTTGTTTTTGGTTTGTTTGTTTTTTTTGTTTTTTTGAGACAGAGTCTCCCTCTGTTGCCCAGGCTGGAGTGCAGTGGTATGATCTCGGCTCACTACAACCTCCACCTACCAGGTTCAAGTGATTCTCCTGCCTTAGTCTCCTGGGTACCTGGGATTACAGGCATGACCCACCACACCCAGCTAATTTTTGTATTTTCAGTAGAGATGGGTTTTCGCCATGTTGGCCAGACTGGTCTTGAACTCCTGATGTCAGGTGATCCGCCTGCCTTGGCCTCCCAAAGTGCTGGGATTACAGGCATGAGCTACCATGCCCAGTCCCTTGTTCTTAAGAAATACATGCTGTCAACCAGACATAGTCAATCACGCCTGTAATCCCAGCAATTTGGGAGGCTGAGTTGGATGGATCACTTGAGACCGGGAATTCGAGACCAGCCTGGCCAACATGGCAAAACCCCATCTCTACTAAAATTACATAAACTAGCTGGGCTTCGTGGCGGGCACCTGTAATCCCAGCTACTCGGGAAGTTGAAGCAGGAGAATCACTTGAGCCTGGGAAGCGGAGGTGGCAGTGACCTGAGAATGTGTGGCTACATTCCAGCCTGAGCAACAGAGCAAGACTCTGTCTCAAAAAGAAAAAAAGTATACCTATGAAAGAAGCTATAAAAAAAATTGATAGAAGTTTTTAAAGAATATTTTCTATCAGACTAAAACAGTCAAATTTTTCCTACTTCTGAATTTTATTTAAAAACTAGAAATAATTTTTAAAAATTAAAAATTTTTTTAAAACTGGAAATAAGGCCTGGCACACTGACTCTCATGCCTGTAATCTCAGCACTTTGTGAGGCAGAGGCAGGCAGATTGCTTGAGCCCAAAAGTTCAAGAACCACCTGGGCAACATAGCAACACCCTGTCTCTACACAAAAAAAAAAAAAAAAAAAAAAATCAAAAATTAAAAAAAGAAAAAGAACTAAATAGGCAGGCATATCACTTGAAGTCAGGAGTTTGAAACTGGCCTGGCCAACATGGTAAAATCTCGTCTCTACTGAAAACACAAAAATTGTCCAGGTGTGGTGGTATGCCTATAATCCCAGCACTTTGGGAGGCCGAGGTCAGTGGATCATGGGGTCAGGAGTTCGAGACCAGCCCAACCAACATGGTAAAGTCCCATCTCTACTAAAAATACAAAAATTAGCCGGGTGCGGTGGCTCAAGCCTGTAATCCCAGCACTTTGGGAGGCCGAGGCGGGTGGATCACGAGGTCAAGAGATCGAGACCATCCTGGTCAACATGGTGAAACCCCGTCTCTACTAAAAATACAAAAAATTAGCTGGGCATGGTGGTACGTGCCTGTAATCCCAGCTACTCAGGAGGCTGAGGCAGGAGAATTGCCTGAACCCAGGAGGCGGAGGTTGCGGTGAGCCGAGATCGCGCCATTGCACTCCAGCCTGGGTAACATGAGTGAAACTCCGTCTCAAAAAAAAAAAGAAAAAAAAAAATACAAAAATTAGCTAGGCATGGTGGCGCGCACTGGTGCTAGCTAGTGTGGTGGCTAAGACAGGAAAATAACTTGTATCTGGGAGGTGGAGGTTGCAGTGAGCCAAGATCATGCCACTGCACTCTAGTCTGGGCAACAGAGTATGACTGCATCTCAAAAAAAAAATCAATCAATCAATCAAAATAAAAAAGAACACAAAAATTAGTCAGGTGTGGTGGAGGGCACCTGTAGTCCCAGCTACTTGGGAGGTTGAGGAAGCAGAATCGCTTGAACCTAGAAGGTGGAGGTTGTAATGAACTGAGATTGTGCCATCGCACTCCTGCTTGGGCAACAGAGTGAGACTCCATCTCAAAAAAAAAGCAAAAGATAACCTAAAAATGGCACCCATACTTTCATAATTTAGTATTATTTCAACTGAAACACCATAAAATATTGTAGAAAAACCTTAGTACAAATGTAAAAGAGCCACAATCAGCATTTCCAAAAAGAGAGAAAACAAAGCAACATTACCTTCATGGACTGTAATGCCACAATTGTCACACTGAATTATTTCATCAGCATCCTCACTATTATCTCCCAGACAAACACAGCAAATCAGAATATGGTCCATTTTTTGAGAACTCCAGTTTTGACTCTTCTCAAGAATCAGCGAGTCCTAATATTAAAATATTAACATACATCAGAAAATCACTTTTAAAGTAAAAAAAATTAATCACTAAAATTCTCTTTACTTCTTAAACATTATTTTATGCACTTCCAAATTTATGCCTTTTCCATTCTTTTACTAACTTCAAAGTACATTTTTATTAAGAAATACATATTTGACCTCTTTGTCAAAGAATGCTGTAAGCACCCTCTTATTTAATTTTTCACTTCTCTGCAAGTTCCGTACTGTCTATCCTCCAGGATATGAAAAAGCAGGCATGCAACTAACAATTCTTCATCTGCTTTGCCATTGTGCTTTTCCCCTTAAACTAGGAGAAGGGAAAAATGAATCCACAAGTAATCAAAGTAATCATTGATCCTATACACGTGTTTTAAAACTATAGGACATGGTTCTTACACTTTAGAAACTTAACAATCCTACCTAGAGGAGACAAGACACACATACAAAATAGGAAGAAATCAATTCAAAATAACGTATAAGCAAGTGTGTATGTGATGGCAGGCTTAAGTACTCTATCCTCCTTTAAATTCTGGGGAATTCAGAAATTACAGGGTTATCAAACTACTGTAAGATCCATGAGAGCCTGCCTAAGTATATGAATATACACAGACACAGAAAATAATCTGAAAAAGGATCCAGATTGACTAGCTGTTAGAAGGGTCAGGGTGCTCTATTAATTAGGTTTCTATCAAGAAATATGTAGTGTAAACTGGTAATATAGACATTAGCTAGTGATACTATAAAAAGAGAGGATGGGCACAGTGGCTCACACTGGTAATCCCAAATACTGTGGGAGGCTGAGGCAGGAGGATCACATGAGGCCAGGAATTTGAGACCAACCTCGGCAACACAGTGAGATCCTGTCTCTACAAAATGTTTCAAAATTAGCTGGGCATGGTGATGAATGCCTTTAGTCCCAAATCCTCAGGAGGCTGAGGTGGGAGGATCACCTAAGCCTAGGAATTCAATGATGCAGCAAGCTATTATCGTGCCACTGCACTCCAGCCTGAGGCACACAGCAAGACCCTGTCTCAAAAAGAAACAAACAAACAAAAAGATATACTAATAAACAAACATTTAAAGATAAAATTTCAGAAGAAGAGGGTCTGCTTGTTTTAATTTAAAGCTGCATTATGGATTTTAACTTTAAATAAGTTAACCAGAAAATGATTCTTACATATTTAATAGATTATGTTTAACATTACATATAATAAAAGATGGCACTTAGGTCCATACATTTTTATTTATGAACCTAACAATATTCAGAAATAAATTTAGTAAATTAGTTTCATACCATACACTCATTAAATATATTTTGTTTCACAATATATTTCATATATTTTATTATTTTTATATTCTTTTAAACTCAATCAATATCCAAAAATAACATTTGGAGACATCATTTCAATAGCAATTTGTGACACTTGAACACACTTGAAGGTCACAATTAATAATTCCTTCAATATATTTTGTGTACAACATCTAAAATTGCAGTGGATTTGTGAAGCAAATCAGAAAAGAATGCAAAAGTCAACAAGAATATAGTATCATTTCTCTTAAGAATTCTAGTATTTTCGAAGTTCTGTATTTTGCGTCTCTTTGCTATAAAACCAAACAACATAGCTTTGGGGCTAACAAATGGCTGGCAAATAAAACTGAAAACATCCTAAAGAAAAGTAATCTGGTTTTACAGTACCAGAGTAAGCAAACAAAAATCTGTCCAGATTTTCATACTACTAGCCATGTTTCAAAGTTTACTTAAAATCAAACATTCTTAAGTTTCTTTTTCACCTCTTGCTTATTTGCTACTAAACCTCGAAGCTGTAACTTCTTTACCTGCAAAATGGCAATAAAAATAGTATCTATCTAATGAGTTTATAAGAATTAACAATATATGGCAAGAATGTTCCTGGCACAAAGAAGACACTCAATAAACGTTCATTCCCTTTCCTTTCTTCTGTACCTCTTATTAAGGTGGTTCAAAAAAAGGAACATGAACTGATAATTCCTTGGATCCCCAAAAGAAAAGTTGTGAGCCTCAATGAGCACTGCTACTTTAAATATCACCCCCATGCTAAGTCCAAAAGAGACTTTCCTTAGAATATCACATCTAGGTTAAAAAAAAAAAAAAAAAAAAATTACAGACCAGAAAATGACCTAGCAAACAATCTGAGTTTGAAAATTAGGATGCTACATGTCTTTGTGGTCTGTGCAATAATCTCTCCAGTGGAATTATAACTAATCAGCCCTGGAAAAAATGTTTACCCATATGGGAAACAAGTAAATTTCTAAGGGTCAGAAAAAGTTGTATCAAGATGCAAATTCCTCTATTCTCCTATTTTTCCATTTGGGTCAGAAAAACCAGAAACGACTAATCATATCTCTATGGCAACTGCTCTCCACATCTATTATCATTTAGAGGCAGAGAAAACAATATTAACTAATGTTTCTGGCCCTCTGATCCTCATGACTTGAGACTCTTAATAGAAATGTAAGGCAAAGAGGGAAATAGGGGAAATTAGTTACAATATTTCCCTATCCAAACTGCTGGCAGACAATGTTTCAATGGGAAAATCTAATGCACCCTCCTTAAAAAAAATGATCTCACCTTTCTTTAACAGATCAAATATAGGTTTAAGCACACTTACGATCATATCAATACAAAACTGATTTATTATTAACTGTTGTTAGTATATTTCTGAAGACATATATAATCTTTCAAGGTTTTAGAGAAAGTAGTTAAGCTGAAGTTTTTAACATAAAATTTCTAAAATATAGTTTTACGTAAAAATAGAAATCAGAAAAATAGGTTTTGAATGGTTAAAAAAAAAAGGACCACCTAGAAAATAACTTTAATGGGATAATTTAATGTAATCAATGAAATTATAAGAATAAATGATACTATATGAATAAACCAATCATTACTTCAATCATTTCATTCTTTCCATCAGGATTTAAAACTTACCCTAAAAATGATAATACTGATCGATGTTCTCCACAGGCTTTAAAATATGCTTACTGATCATTTATATATATATATATACTCCATGTATGATTATAAATGGTATATACGATAGGCTAAATTTTATCTAAACCCCGTGTTTAATACAAGAAGATTTCAGCATGCTTCCTGTAAAATCAAAAGAATCACTGGGCACAGTGGCTCACGCCTGTAATCCCAGCACTTTGGGAGGCCGAGGCAGGTGGATCACGAGGTCAAGAGATCGAGACCATCCTGGTCAACATGGTGAAACCCCGTCTCTACTAAAAATACAAAAAATCAGCTGGGCATGGTGGTGCGTGCTTCTAATCCCAGCTACTCAGGAGGCTGAGGCAGGAGAATTGCCTGAACCCAGGAGGCAGAGGTTGTGGTGAGCCGAGATCGCACCATTGCACTCCAGCCTGGGTAACAAGAGCGAAACTCCGTCTCAAAAAAAAAAAAAAAAATCAATAGAATCCTACCGCCCTAAAGAAAAAATTAAACCAAAAAGCTTGACCAATTATGCTTCCTCTAAGTTTTGAGAAAAGGTTATTTCTTGTGAATCTCAATATTTACACAATGTTACAGAACTGACTTTTTTTAGGACTCAGAGCATTTTTTTTCATTTTGCAATGTATAAAAAGGCAACTGATTAAGAAGTCCGAAGTCCCAAATAGATGTGGATATTTATACATTTTGGTAAAATTTGTGCATTTTAATTCACATAAATCAGGTGAATTTCTTAATGGTAATGACATCTAGTACTCTTAATGGAATCTTTAATGGAAAAAAAATTCTACTCAGCAAAGAACATAAAGCGACATTTATAAGACAGTAATCCAAAATCCAAACTGTCTCTAATATTAAATATTTTCTGTGAGAAAAAAGCTCTTTTACAAATCAAAATGCCACTTCTATTGACATAATTTTCCGTAATGTATTAATTCTCATCCAAAAGTTTAGTTTCAAAATCTTGAAAATGGGAACCATTTCTGAAAATACTACACTGCCTTCCCCAAAAAACATACCTCAGAAAACTAAAGGGCAAGATAATGTTAAGCAATCTCAAAGCTGCAAGATTAATGGCTGAAAAAGACATATAACCATATTTCAAGGGGATTCTTCAGACTGTACTAAATTCAAAAAATACCATAAGGCCATTGACAAAAACAGGAGGCCATTTGCAGAAAATGAAGTTTATCTAATGCCCAGTTCAAGAGCAGCAGTTCTGAAGATGTGGTCCAGTGAACTCTCTTTCAGCAGGTATACAAGGTAAAGGCTACTTTCATAATGATACTAAGACATCGTCTTTTTCACTCTTTCTCTTATGGGAGTAACGTGAAATTTTCCAGATACCACATGAAATGGGATTTGACAACCTGTGTGCTTCCTCAGTTTTAATTTAAAATGGTAAATATCAACAGATAATATCTACATAAATGTTAATGGTTGCCCTCAATAGTTTTTAAAACTGTAAAGGGGCTATGTGTGGTGGCTCACACCTGTAATCCCAACATTTTGGAAGGCTGAAGCAGGATGGCCTGTGGTCAAGAATTTGACACCAGCCTTGGCAACACAGTGAGACCCTGTCTCTACAAAAATAAATAAATAAATAAAAATAAAAGCATTAGCCAGATGTGATCGTACACCTGTAGTCCCAGCTACTTCAAAGGCTGAGGTGAGAGAATTGCTTGAGCCTGGGAGGTCAAAGTTGCAGTTAGCCATGATCACGCCACTGCACAACAGTCTGGGCAAAAAAACAAGACTCCGTTTCAAAAAAGAAATTTTTTTTTTAATTTTAAAATGAGGTCAGGTGTGGTAGCTCTTTCCTGTAATCCCAGCACTTTGGGAGGCCAAGGCAGGTGAATCACTTGAGGTCAGGAGTTGGAGAACAGCCTGGCCAACATGGTGAAACCCCATCTCTACTAAAAATTCAAAAATTAGCTGAGCATTCTGGAATGCACCTGTAGTCCCAGCTACTCGGGAGACTGAGGCAGGAGAACTGCTTGAACCCAGGTGGTGGAGGTTGCAGTGAGCTGGGATCATACTACTGTACTCCAGCCTGAGCAACGGAGTGAGACACAGTCTCAAAAAAAAAAAACAACAACAACAACAATTTGAGTATCACTGAATCACTGCTCTAGAGTATTTCAGGGTCTGCAGCATAGGTATGTTAAAGCCATTAAGAGCAATAATTATAAGAGGGCCCTGCTAAAATAAGTATCTTCAACGTAAACTTCAAAATTATGAAAGTTTCAGGTCACTTTGCTACAAATGAACTTAACATAGCAGCCAAGAAAAATGAAACTAAATATGGTGTAAATATATATATATATGTAATGTGTAATATATAATTATTTCTTTTTTTTTTTTTTTTTTTTTTTGAGACAGAGTTTCACTCTTGTTACCCAGGCTGGAGTGCAATGGCGCGATCTTGGCTCACTGCAACCTCCGCCTCCTAGGTTCAGGCAATTCTCCTGCCTCAGCCTCCTGAGTAGCTGGGATTACAGGCATGCACCACCATGCCCAGCTAATTTTTTGTATTTTTAGTAGAGACGGGGTTTCACCATGTTGACCAGGATGGTCTTGATCTCTTGACCTCGTGATCCACCCGCCTCGGCCTCCCAAAGTGCTGGGATTACAGGCTTGAGCCACCGCGCCCGGCCGTAATATATAATTATTTCTATTAGGTACTTCTAAAACTACATTTTCAGCTATCTCTACAAACAAAGTAGTTTCTGAAAACAAAGTAAAAGAAGGGAAAAATCCAACTTCAAATATATACTTAACTATGTATAGATACAGAAATTATAACTAGCTAAAATAACCAGAAAGATTAAGACCCAAACACTGGCCACAGGCAACAAGGACTAGCTTTAATCATCTTTTTACAAAATCAAGATCATACAAATAAGAAATCTAAATATATAACTAATAATCACAGTTTAATTGAAATGTAATTATCTAATTTGAGGAACATAATTTAAATAACTAAAATCATCAAAAAATTACTGTAGAGCTTAAATAATAGAGTTGTGGGGAAAATGACTCAAGCTTTTACATAGAAAGTTAAGAGAAAAATTAACTTTTTATGATCTCTTCTACATGTGCACTTTTAAGTGCTTTGGAATCTCATTTCTGGAATGTGTTTGTGTTTGGCACTACTAACCTAAACATAAAAGGTCCCATTATTGTCAGGCGTGGTAGTGCACACCTGTAATCCCAGCACTTTCGGACGTTGAGGCGGGTAGATCACGAGGTCAGGAGTTCAAGACCAGCCTGGCCAACATGGTGAAATCCCACCTCTACTAAAAATACAATATTTAGCTGAGCATGGTAGCACGTGCCCGTAATCCCAGCTACTGGGGAGGCTGAGGCAAGAGAATTGCTTGAACCAGTACTTGGGAGGCAAAAGTTGCCGTCAGCCAAGATCAGACCACTGCACTCCCAGCCTGGGCTACAGAGCAAGACTTAATCTTCCAAAAAAAAAAAAAAAAAAAAAAAAAAAAAAAAAAAAAAAGGTCCCATTATTTACTAAAGTGTCTTCTAATGAGAAAAAAAACTGAACAACATGTAGACTTTCAATACATCATAAACATTAGTCTACAACCTCTTAAGCAGTACTAATGAAGTACAGGTTTAATAAACAAATACTGTACGCATTTTACATGGCAAATTTCTAAACATATGCAGATGTCCCCCACACTTTGGCGTAAATCTAATCCACACTTCCTCCATCACTACCTAGACTACTTCTAAGAGTATCAACCTAATAAAAATGAAGAAGTGAAGTTGTCAAAAGTAAACTTATTCATTAGATATAGAGTATTAAGTGCTATAAAATAAACTGAATGCATGCCTAAATTAAATCCAAACAATTAGATTTTTCCATGTCTGTTTCTTTAAGACAGCATTGACAATATGGGAACTGCCTGTGCTATATCATTAAAAATATTATACTATTTCCCAAATGACAGCTTTCCTTTAAAGATAAGAATTAGAATGGCACTGAAGGCAGGCAACATTTTTCATATAAAATATTGGTTTCAGAAGTTAAGCAATGCTTATAATCCAAATATAAACTGCTGTCTCATCTCCAATGATAACCTCACAGCCTGCTATAGATTATTTTGGTAAGAAAATTGCCATATTTTTAAGCAAAACAATTCAAATAGATAATCACTGCTATATAAAATTTGTAGGCAGAAAAATGTAAAAGAACAAATAAAGCATAAGAGAAAAAAATTTATATCAGTTTAACTTACTTCAATGATACAGAAAAAAAACAAGTGGTAAAGAAAGAAATTTTGGTGACTATAAACACATTAACAGAAATGACAGAACTAATAATTACAGTTCTACATGTGATGTAACAGATACATCTACATGTAAGACAACAACTCAATCTTTCTTTTGAAGAAAAACATATACAAAAACACATAGACAAAGAGACACAAATGTGTTTGACTGAAGAGTCTTGAAAGATGCATCTCTGAGATCAATGGATATACCTAACTTTCAGTAGCAGAACTTCAAGTAGAAACACTGAGTCATTACTGTAGTTTTGTTACAAAAATGTCTGTTTTATGATGGAAATGTTTGGGTTTTTTTTTTTTTTCCATTTCTTTGTAGAGAGAACTTAATTACTAAACATATGTAAAAATAGTTCATACTTATGTGTATGTCCCATACACACAAAGCAAAGATTTAGTGAGTAAAGATGATGAGTGCTACAACTGGTAAAGGAATTAATCTTTAAAATGAATCTCTACAAGTTTGAGAAAATCATCAGGCTGTTTGTTGCCCTGCTCTAAGGTATTCTAAAGGCCTACATTTTAATGTGGATATGGACCTAACCAAGTTGAAAGAAAGGTGACCTTTGTTTTCATAATCCACTCAGCACCATTCAGCAGTCCTGTGAACAAAGGAGTAAAGGGATAAAAAGGAGAATGGAAAACTTTGTCATTTCCCAAGTCTAAGGATATAAAAATATTTCTCTAAATATTTCTCCTTGAGGACAAAGATTGTGAACTCCTTGAGAACGGTGACAAATAGTAGATGTTTAATAAAAGTCTGTTGACCAAATGAAAAAATGTTACAGTTAGGGTGCTCATTCACTCCCACAGCCGTCTATAAATAGGAGTTCAAGGCAGCCACTTAATACAATGTGTAGAGTGATTTAGAGAAGAATTCCCTTTTCCCCAGACAGACAGATATAAAAATTGGGTTGATCTACCTCATTACTCTTGCTTTGAGATAAGGTCAGGCTATCATTGGTCAGTTCCTCATCATCAGCACTGTTTCTGCTAAGAACTTTACTCTTCTTCTTCTTGCAACCCCCTTCACTGGCAGGGCTACTATGATCTTCATCATTGCCTTCATCATTCTCATCTTCATCACTCCCACTTCCCTCATCTTCATCATCCTCATTGTCTCCATCACTTCCCTCTTTCTGAGACGCAGATCTCCCTTTTCTCTTCACTACAGTAGGTCGCCAATCATTGTCATCCTCACTGTCATAGTCATCCATGTCATTCAGTTCTTCCATGGACACAAAATCCAGAAGCGGTCGGTTTCGTCGAAGGTTCCATTTTTTTGGCTCGCTGACTTGTTCCTCTGTAGCAGTTGTTGTAGTAGGAACAGAAGGGGATGTGTTAACAGCAGGAGGACTTGTGGCTAGTGTGGTGGCAGCAGCAGAAGCAGCCACATTCTCAGATACTGTTGCTTTTTCTTTTTCCTTCTCTCTTTCCTTCTCTTTCTCCTTCTCTTTCTCCTTTTCCTTTTCTTTTTCCTTCTCTTTCTCCTTTTTCTTTCTAGGTCTTTCTCCATTTTCTTCTTCTTCCTTCTTTTCCATTTTAATTAATTGTTTTTCTGATGATAGTACTTCTTCCTCTGCAGAATTTTTAAGTTGTTCTTCTTTTACTTTAATATCTTCATTCAGTTCTTCTTCTAAAATATTTTCTTCAGAATCACTACAGGAACCTTCTCCACTGTCCTTTGAAGCATCTTCACTTCCATTACCACTCCCTTCAGAATCTGTTGAAAATATGAGAAAAAAAAAACCACACATATGTATATACATACACACACACACACACAACGCTGACACAAATGAAACCACCAAAATTTGTGAATAACTTGTAAAACAATATAAACAAATTTAAGTCAAAGAATGGTAGACATTCCCAACCTGATCAAATAATAAATCAATGAAGTTGATACAATGGTTTTAGTTCAGTATAGCATTAATGAAGATGAATATATATAACCCTAAATTAAAATATACTTTAAAAAGAGAAGCACTATTTTGGGTCATATGGCAATGTTTGGTACTGAAGAGGCAATTATTTTTTAATGTAAACGTGCTTCTTTTAAGATTGGGCACTTGATTTTAACTTTACTGATATAATACAGACAAAATTCTTCCTCCCTTATACATCTTTTATAAACTATATGGACTTATAAGTATTAAATCATAACCAAAACAAGATAAATCTCACCCATAAAATTGCCTCATTTATTTTATTTTACCCAGCAAAATGAGCATAGCTATTTATGAGAGTCAACTTATACCAGATCCTTTATATAACAAACAGATTTTAGGAATACCAAGAACACAGGTCAAAAGAGAAAACAGACAATAGCAAGGGCACAGAAAAGGGAAGTTGCAAGAGAAATTTTCAATTTTCCTGTTTATTAGAATACTCTTCCTATCAATAAGGGTCACTACACTTTCAAAAATTCTAGACAGTAACTACTATAGGCTCTAGAATGGAAGAAATTGGTGAATAAAGCAATCCATCCTGAAAATGAGCAGTCACAGAGGTTACTGAAAAGTTAGGCTGAGGACATTAAGAGCTCACACGGGACTATAAGTTTTCCAGCAAGTTTCTTCCATTTCTATCTAAGGCAGCCCAGCCCCTCTCAACCTAACACTACTCAGTAACCTTCTAATCATTCTCTTTGTACCCAATCAAATAAGTAACAATCTTAAATATTTGAAGGGAAGAATAAATGGGAGGAGGGAAAGAGGACAGGGAGCAGGAGGAGGTGGAGAAGAAATGAGTCAAGTCTTAGCCAATGCCAATAGTTAAATCCACATGATGATGAATTTTTTTGTACTTATAGCCAAGAAAAAGGTAATGATAAAATGGTGGAAAAAGTAAAGTGTTTCCACATAACTTTAATTTCTATTAACTCAACTAGGCTTAACCTCTGTAATTAACTGAGCACTAAAAGTAAGGGACACTGTCTCTAACTAGTATTTGGTATCTAGTGAACCTCACAAGTCATATACAAATGACTGATAACAAAAATATTCTGCAAGTAAAATTACATAAAAAATAAACACTAACATTTAACAGATGCTGACTGACTCTAAGAAATCATTACCAATCTCACAACTGTCATGTAGGTATCCATAGCTTATTTGGGACCGTTCTGAAAAAAACACTCATCCTCAACAACCTTGCACAGGACACAAGAGCAGTATCACACAGGTCAGCAATTCCCTATCTGAAGATTTAAGAGCCAGATGTGTTTCGGAATTCATAATTTCTCATATTTTCAAAGGGTAAAATGCACATGCACCACATGTTATACTAACACCCTGAGTGTCTATGGTATTATCCTACAATCAAACACATTATTTCTGCAAAGAAAAATACAAATATTTACAGAGTGTGAGAAATAAATAATACAAATAAACTCCTAACAGTTTCTGTTAGGTTTTGCCATCAAGTAACTTTGTGTCAACCTTACAAAACACTTAGATTTTTGAGCTTCTTGAATTTCGAGAGTGCAGACCCAATATTACTCACAAACTGACTTCTTTCCAGTCTCCAGAGCATTAAGAAAATTATGATTTTGTAAACCACTCAAGCAATTTAACCCATCCTACGAAGAAAAATCACATCTGGTAAAAATAACAATAATAATAACCTTTAGACATTTTAAAATTATGATTTAATAAATAATAACCAGAGTTGACTAAACACTTCTAAGACACAGAAGGATCTCTTACGCACACTGACTGAAGAAAACTGAAACACCTTAGCTTCTAGAATGGAAGCAATGCCGTAATTAAGAGAGCTAGAAAATCAAGATGAAAGAAAAGGTACTTTTATTCTGGATCAACCTTCTAGAAGGCTTTTTACCAATCAAAACTTGATGATAGACACAAGATTAACTGGGGTAGAAGTATAGGTAGCTGATCAAAATTCAGACCAATCCAGCGTTGCTATTACTTGATAAATTTTACAAAATGTCAGAGATTTTTGTGATTTTGTTTTGATTGTTGCCAATGCCAATTAATTAATTATCTTTTCAAATGAGAGGTAAATTGAGGCTCCTTGATTTGTTTTTGATTTATAATCATGCTGAATAAAAAGCAATTTAAAAAAAATATTTCAGCATTTCATGTTTGTTAACTATTATTAGAAAAATGGACATTTTTCTGCAAACCAAGTCCTAATAGCTTACCTAACCCCTCATTCTCCAACACAGTATATTACTCAGACTCCAACTACAGGGATCAGCAATATATCAAATTTTATCTTTCTCTGATCTCTGAAAAATAACTTCTTCATCTGATTAGTCATTATTTCTTTTTTGTACATATGCACTGGAGGGATGAAGATAAAAACCACATTTAGTTATTATAAACATAGCTGGGTAATAACGAAAATGAGAAAAATCAAGGTTCTTGGCTATTTTTTTCACAAGCGACATACAAAAAAATTCCTATTACTATAAAGTCAAAGAATGACTCTGTGCCATGTTCCAAAATAATAATAATAAAGAAACAAACAAACAAAAAAGAAATAATAGACTGGAGAAAAGAGCCAGATACTTCAAATAAAGCTATCTTAGGCAGAAAGACAGAGTTAATTTCAAGTCTACAATAAACCTTTCTTACATTTGAAAAAGATCTTTAAAATTGAAATCCTACTTCCCATTTGTTTAAATAAAAGAAAACCTTTTATAAACATACAATATATCAGAATCTCTCCAAGCAATAGCTATTTTAACTAACAGTTAAGAAATTTTTTACAGTTACAGAATTTTTAAAAACTCCTTTGAGTGGTAATGGCCAAAAATAAAATACACTTTAAAATTAGAATTTAAAAAACCAATCTTCAAGAATCCTTTACAATAAATAATAAAATAAAATTAACTTAATTAATATAAACCATCAATACCATTATATCCAATATTCTCCCCATGATAACAAACTCAATGTAATTTAATTAAGTTTCATGTTAATATACAACATATGCAATATAAATTTGTTCATCAATTTCATCAGTCTAATTTTGTTCATTGATCTGGCACAACAGTATTAGTACTATAAATATACACAATAGACAACAGATCGATCACTATTCCACTGTTTATTAAGAGCTATCTTGAGGCTATTTGACCAAAGCTGTGTACGTCTTGAAGACAGCCAATCTGTCAACACAACCCATCCTCTACTTCTGAATCTAGTTCCAGCTATGTCATCTTAGGTTTTCATGGGTAAATCTAAGCCAGTGCTTCTCAAATGGGGACATTTTTCCCCTAGAGGACATCTGGCAATGTCTGGAAACAACAGTTGCCAAAAGAGTGGGAGTGGGGGTAGAGGTGAGGCTGAGGCAGGTAGGAAAGATGCTACTGGCATACAGGACAAGCCTCCACAACAACAAATTATCCAACACAAACTGCCAACAGTGCCACAGTTGAGAAATCCTCAACTGGTACACAAGGCCTCAATTTGACCTTATTCTACCTTTCCAGGCTTATCTCTTCTACTTTAACTCAACCCTGATCCCCAAATATAAAAAACATTTCCAAATCTCAATACTTTTAATTTTTCCTTTACCAAGATTGCTGTTCATCTAAATCAGCAATCTGTTCATAGTTCCTCTTATCTCAATGAAATTGTTCTACATCAATCTAAACTAATCCCATTTCCTATGAAAGACCTGAACTACACAAGTGATCAATCATCCTCTGTATCAATTATTTTATTTAATTATTCTAATTTTATTTTACTGACATGTTATTTTACTTATTTATTCTAGTATTATTACTATTGTTTTGTAAATTCACCATAACATCTAGCAAAGGGCTAAACTACAGTCAGTCAATGAACACATCTTGGTCCATTTATGCAAAGTCGGATTAAGCACAAAATACCACCAAAGTCTCAGGCAGACTCTTCTCATTAAATTATTTCCTGGCAATATGACCTAACTAAACCATTGATCAAGATCTAAAATCAACCCCATTTTATTCTGGCTAGTGGGGGATAGGGGTAGAGGGCATGGCTAATCATCTGCTTAGTAAAAGTAATACATGTCTGCATCTTTAAAAAGACGTAAACATTCTTTAAAACATTCAATTAATGTAGCAGATAACTAAATGTAAATAAGTCTCCTATCCTACCCCCAGTCCTATGCCCAAGTCTCAAATGTAAACACTCTAACTAGGTCAAACCACAAAATTGCCAATATTTGACTGTTTGGACCTACAAAACTGGTAATTCCATATGGTTCAACCTAACATTTCTACATATGGTTCTTCTGATGGTTATCACCATAATTCTAGTACATATATACCCTATTTTAGGAATTATTCATTTCAAACTTTATTTATTGATTGCTTTCAATCAGAACTGAGAAACTTACTTTTACTTTTGCATTAAAAATAAAATATAAACTATTTTTGTTTATATTTTATTTCATAATTTTCTAAAGGTAGAGGATCATAATTATTAACTTTGTCAATAATCACATGCCAATCTTATTGGTGGGTCATTCTTTAGCAATGTTGATTTGTTTCCATTTTACAATAGAGTTAAATTATGTTTATCTTTAAATGTTTTCTGTATTTATTGTTAAAACCAAACAAATACAGAAAGTTTTATAGTCAGAATTTCAGATTTCAAAATGAAGGTAAGATAAAATTAATCCACAGAATCCAGTTAGCCAAAATTAAGGCCAACCAATCTAACCACTTTAAGTTCTAAGGAAGTCTGTAGTTCATTCAGTAAGTCATTTCTAGAAGTTGTTTTGAAAGAAGATGTGATCAGACAAATGTTTAGTTACCATGTCTCTACTTCCATTTTAACCTCCTATTCATAAGTAGGGCTGGGAATGCACAACTTCAACATGTTTGAAAACCAATGATAGGACTAATGTCTTATCTTCTGTAAGACTCCAACTACATATATACTATCTCAGGCACAGAAAAGATTCAAATGGAAAACAATGGTAATCTAGAGTAAGCCAATATCTCAGCTATGAGGAGATCAATGCACCTAAAACAAGAGTCAAAAATATGATTCAATTTCTGTTGACTACTAATCATTTTAAATAAAATTTTCTTCTAAATTCCCTTTTACAATAAATACCAAGAACTATACATATAAATTTGTGACCTGAGACCACAGGTCGCAAATTGAAGCTCCCCAGGGGCCAGGAAGGTAAATTTTAAGTGCAGCATACTAGACGTTATAAGAGGGAAGAGGAAGTAAATAATTTTAAGGTATTTAGGGGATACAGATATATATTAACCTAACAAAACTCATCCTATCATTTTTCACAAATAACAGTTCTCTTCAACTATAATTAGGATTCAACAAGGTCTGTATTTAGCTCGATATCATAAAATATTTTGAGAAAATGTGTTTATATCAGATTGTTTTACCACTTGAAAAAGAAGTGATATGTGTGAATACTCCATCTCAAAAAACAAATTGTCCATAAAGTCAATATTGTCACATAAATATGTAACACTTAATATAAGTTTTAGAATTGTTCCCACAATGATATTCAAAGAATTCACAACTTCCGAGATCCAACTATGTTCGTCAAAGTTTACAACCAAAACCATAACAAACCAAAACTACATCCTAGCCAAGAATATTCTTATCCGCCAACGTCTTTACCAAGAGAACTAAGATTTAAATTTTACCTCCTCTCCTTTCCCCTTCCCTTCTTTGGAAATACCAAACATCAGCAAATCAACTAAATGGGAAATAAAGAGCTGAGAAGCAAAGGTAAAAAAAAAAAAAAAAACCGTTAATCAAGATAAACTTATCAATTTTAGATTGCTAGGGATGAATTCAATTAGTAATGAAATATCCAAAGTTTCTGTTTAAGATTTAATCAGTCAGCTCTTAGGATCTAAGCAGATAAACAGACTAAATTCTGAAGACAAATCCATTGGATCTGACTTAGTGACCTCAAGCCAGTTCTGTAAACTCAATACCCCTGTTACCTTTAAAATAGTATCTCCTTCACTTAGTTACTGTGAAAATTAAATGAGACTATGCAAACAAAAAGTTATCAGTAAATCACAATGCAAATTCTGCTGCTGATGCTACTAAAAGTAGCAAGAGTAATACAACACAATTTAATTCATCCCTTCCTACCATCCCTAGCAGGAAAAGGAGAAGGAAAAACCAGAGGAAGGAGAGATGTGACTAAGCACAGCAAACTCTCTGGAAAGATATTTAAAAACTAATGAAGAGATGAAATTGGAAAGGCTTTTATCACTTTATTTAAATTTTCATGTCACTTTAAATTTTTGAAATAAGTGGAATTACAAATAATTTTTATTGTTAATATCAGTATTTTTCCCCATAAAATACTTAAATAAAAATTTTTATGTTTCTCAGATTCCTTCAACTGAAACTGTATATATTCTACGCATCAGGTGCATCAAACAGAAGATACAAAGGAAAACCATACTTTTCTGTTTTCCAATTTAGTACAATGTGATTATAAGACCTTTAAAAAAAGTTTTTAAAATAACTAAATATAGAGAGCAAGGATGCATGACATAAACTTCAGAGATTTCTGAAAAGCCCAATCCACAAGATCCATCGCCTACTATAATTTAAAGTGCAACTCTTACTCTGGTCAATTTTATTCTAGTAAAAGCGCTAATAAAACAAAAAAGCAAAATTCCCCTCAGAGAATGCCAAGTGAACTGAAAACAGAAGAACCCTGCTCAAGAACTATTCATGGTCCACACACCTCTCAGGATACTTTTCTACTTCAGGATATCTTTCAGTTTTTTCCTCTATAACATAAACATATTTTAATGTGTAAAATAGAGTAAATCCTTTTACATCTTTGGAAAAAGTTCTTCCCCTGACTGCTAATTATCTCTGAGGAAAACAGAAGCAATGATAGGTCTAGTGACAGGATCTAAAGGCAAATGGGAAATCAAATGGTCAAAATAAATGAAGGTCATGTGCTTTCACTTAAAATTGGCATTTTAATCAAAACCGATTAAAAAAAGAAATGTCTAAAAACAAACCCAACTCCAGAAAGCTGGGAAAGGGGAAGACAGAAGGAAATATTTACCTGAGGCATCTCCAACTTTAAAATCACTGTCATCTGAACTATCATAATCGAGAGCTTCCAGCAGAGAAGCTGCCAAAGGCTTCACCTGCCTCCTCTTGGAGCTGCGATCCACTGTTAAGAGAAAAAAAATTACATTGTCATTCATAATCACACCAAACACAGGGGAGAGCTGTGGTGCTAAGAGAACATAAAGATGACCTCACACAAGGAATTTTTGCCTAATTATCAGGAAAAGGGGTCAGAAGTGGGGTGCAGAAGTGGGCTGGGGAGGGCTGGACAGCTCCATGGGCAGTTTCAGAGGCAGTTCCAGCCCTGAGGATGCCAACGCCAAATGAGACCAGCTAAAATCGAAGCCGACCCCCTTGGGCATCTCTTCCAGATGTTTCTGCACCCTCCTCTTAATCCTCCACTTACACATTGTAACAATCAATAAAAAAACGCAAAATCCAGGGAATATAAGAAGAGGGTTCATTCCCGCGGACAGTGTAGACGGAGCGTCCACCAAGCGTCCACCTTTCCCGCAGGGCTCTCCCACCCCTGCCCTGCTCCCCGCGGCCCTAACTTCTAGAATGGCTGAAATGGATCCCTCTCGCCGCAGAGGCCTCGGACACACTTACTAAGGAATCCGTGAGGTGGTCGTTTGGAGACTTAGGGAGAGGCTGCTGGAGCCCAGGCAGCGCCGAGGTCGGGGACTGGGGCCGCGGAGACAGGTCCGAAAGATGCTATTTAAAACCGGCGCGCCGCCAGCGGGACAAGGGTGCTCCCAAGAGTAGCCCCGCCGTCCCCTAAGCCCCCCACCCACCCCCAGGCCACGCCAGGCCCTGGTAGCTCGAGTCCCTTCCCAAGGCGCTTCCCGGCCGGAGAAGCTCTCCGGCCCAGGCAGCGCGGCCAATCCCCGGCGGCTCTGGGGAGTTAATTTCTCCCGTTAAAACTAGAAGAAAAAAATTAAAGAAAGAAAAACTTTATTAGCCTGCACCAAGAGCAACAAAAGACCCAGAAATTGCACAGCGCGAGGCCGCCTGCCCCAAACAATAGAGAAAGCAGCGACCCGGATACGGCTCTGAGGAGAAGGAAGTGAAAACAAGAAGCTAAATGCAGCCCTGAGCTGTAGGAGTTGAGGGCGCATGCGCAGGACTCGCTCCCGCGCACCCTTCCGGAGCAGGAGCCGAACAGAGACGAGTGGAAGCTGACTGGGAGCCGAGAGGAGCCGCGAAGTGCCCAGCGGGAGCAGAGATCCCTGCCAAACCTTGTGCAGCTCCGCCCACAAACCCCTAAGGCTCCGCCTTCTCCGCGCCTAATTCTGCTCCTGAATCCAAATCCCTGGGACAACAGTTTTTGTTCTGATTTGTTTTTTAAGGATTTTCTCGGAGTAAACTTACCACAAAGGGACGTTTGCTACCTTAAGCCACTACCAATAACTAAATGATATTGTCACCGGTATACAGTCATGATTGAAAGTTGTCGAGGTTCTTGGCGTTTTGAACAAATCGGACAAAACGCCCAGCAAAGTAAAAAAAAGAATGAAACAACAAAAGAACAAAAGCAGGGATTTATTGAAAATGAAGGTATGCTCTGTGTGGGAGCGATATCAGCAGCAGCTCAAGGCCCGAACACAGAATCTGCTTGGGTCCAAATACCCTCTAGAAGCTTCCCATTGGCCACTTCATACTCATCTCGCGTAAATTAAGCGGTAACCCGCAATCAGTCTGATTGTTTGCAGAAAGCAGCCAACCACAGACTGAAGTGAAGTTAAACGAGGTCACGCTCCTGTGCAAACATTGATGCAAAAAGCATCCAATCAGAGGCTAGGGTGAAGTTACAAAGATATACCTCTATGCAAAGGAAGACTAGCCTGCAATCAGTCTGATTTGTTACAGCAAATTCCTTCTTCCTTCCTTTTTCAGGTGGAGGAACTTTTCTTTTTGTTCCTAATTTGCCTATTGTTTTTATCATGAAAGAGCTTTGAATTTTGTTAAATACTCTGTGTCTTTTGAGATGACTGCGTGATTTTTGTAGTTTATTTTTTCTGTATGGTCTATTGTTAACATTGCTTGATTTTTATTTGTTGAATCAACCTTGCATTTCTGCTATAAATTCTACTTAGTTAGGGCCGGGCGCGGTGGCTCAAGCCTGTAATCCCAGCACTGTGGGAGGCCGAGGCGGGGGATCACGAGGTCAAGAGATCGAGACCATCCTGGTCAACATGGTGAAACCCCGTCTCTATTAAAAATACAAAAAATTAGCTGGGCATGGTGGCACATGCCTGTAATCCCAGCGACTCAGGAGGCTGAGGCACGAGAATTGCCTGAACCC